TTCCTCACCTGGTGACAACAGAGCATGGAGCCGGCTTCCCAGCCAATCAGAAAGCTGTGCGCCATGTAATAGCTCGTCAGCTGGCTTTCTGGCTAGTCAGGAAGCCGACCCCATGCTCCCTCATCACCAGGGAGCATGGAGCTGGCTTCCTGCTTGGCCATGCTTCCTCGTCACTTGGTAGTGTAATGACGTGCTGCCCCGAATTCCTGATTGGGCGGAAAGCTGGCCAGTCAGGAAGGCAGGCGGCAAGTCGTGACACGCCCCCACGGCTTCATGATTGGCCAGAAAGCCAGCTCCATGCTTGGAGCATGGAGACGGCTTACTGGCTAATCGGAAAGCCAGGCGGCGAGTCATTACATGCCACCCAGCTAATCAGGAAACCCCATTAAGAAAGCTGGGCAGCGTGTAATGACCCGCTGCCCAGCTTCCCTAATGGGACTTTCGGTATCGGCGAGGACCGAATAAAAATATTGATATGAGTACTCAATACTGAGGTACCGGTATCGGTGCATCCCTAATTAATATTAAGTCAATACAGAGTTTATAGTATAGTATGGGGCATGGCATTAATTAGACCTATTTTTAATAGTAACTCTCAAGCAACCAGAAACAACATTTATCCGGAATCTACCAATCCCTGTGGATGCCGAATAACTGGGAGTTTACTGTATCTATAGAGCAAATTGACTCTAAGAGCTGTACATCATCGCCATCCTGTGGCGGATTAGGAGTAAAACACTTTGTGCACCGGTTTATTGTCATCAAACGGAATGTTCTTTTCTTCTTCTTTGTCCACCTCGTGTACCGTCTGCTCTGCAGGTCCTGAATAACGGCTGAAGGCTGTCATACCAATACGTGCAGCTGCTGTTACATGCCACTGGCCGGGGATATAAAAACAACTGGCAGCAGATAATGTCATCTAATTCCTGGCTTCTGACCTGCTAAACTATACCTGGCTGACTTATTGCAGAATGTGGCTGAACTCGCATTGAGTCACTGATCACAACCTCTTCAAGAGCCTACTGTCAATCAAAGTCCCTAGACGGATAGGGTCTTGGCTCATTAGAAATCTTGATGTTCCCTCTGCTGTCTGCTATTCGGCTAGGTGCCTAAACCCCTGCCTTGTGTATAGTATGAGATTATATATATATATATATATATATATATATATGTATATATGTATATATATATATAATATATATATAAAGGGGCTTAGTAGTCTCATTGATTGGGTGCTGTAGGCTACACAGGTGTACATTCCTGAATGCCTCCAGCACAAGAACCGGCACGTCAGGATGTAGGTATGTGTGTATATAGAGTGCACAAAGTTCCCATTCATGTATACAGGATGTGTGACCTGCAAAGTAATGACACGCTTTTACTGTGGGGTCCTTACATGACAGACATGTAACACGCAGACCGGGTCAGAAAGACATACTATGAACACACTTCTTAAGGTGGACCTGTCACATTTCCTCAGTAGCTGGAACTTGCAGCCATGTTGTTCTGAAAGGTGCATTCTGTATGACGACCAGCAGGTAGCGCTATAGTCTCAGAGAGTGGCAGCCAGCAGTAGGTTTGTGGAGGAGCTGATCAGTGCACCGCGAGGTTAAGGGTTAAACGTGTTTCTTTTGGCAGGCGGCCCTGTTACCGAAGACATTCACAGAGTTGGGGTTGGGGTGGGGGAGGGCTAGGTAGCATAGGAATGAATAGCTCCTTGTTAGGGAAATACAATGGATAGATGTCTATTTATTCCATACTCTGTATCCCGCTTTAATCAAAGTTTTTTTGGTCCATCTGTCTTTCAGGATGCGGTTAACGCTAAACACCGTTGCGTTCAAGCTAGAAACTAGCAAACGTTTACCAAATAAACCAAAAAAGTAAAAAAAATACCTTCAGAATGTTCCACCAAAAACAAATGTTTTGGCCAGTCTTAAAAAGAGCTACAAAGGGAAGATGGATTGAAGGAAGCTGGTGGGGCCGTGAAACTTGGTTTACTAATTAGCGATTGTTCCTAATTAGCGCGTGACGTCGTCACTCCGCGGCATTGTGCACATGCGAGTCCTCTATTATGGTTCTGCAAATCCGGGTCAAATCGATGAACGCCACAAATGGCGTGGGAGACAATCTGGGCTATTGACGGGAGGCATTGACCCTTTCCGCGTGTGAGAAGTTGCTCATTTGGCTTTCTCCGTCTTTGGCCACGACTGGAAAATCGGACAATACGTCTGTGCACAGCACAGATCAGCCGGGGCCAAAGAGTTAATCAACCTTTGGTATTCAATAACTGAAGCTGCTTTGAGTATTTTTAATGGAGGAAATCTGAGAAACAAAGTGAGAAACATTTCATGTTTGGTCAGGACACCTTTGGCAATGAGTTTGAACATTTTTGGCCTAAAATCCTGATCTTCCATGGCGTCATTGGCACAGGCCCGTAGTAGAGTAGGTAGTATCTGTTGAGTAGGTAGTATCTGTTGAGTAGGAAGCATAGTCTCTGAAAGTTTTATGAGGTAGCTTTTTGGTGAACAGCATTATAGTTCAGACGTGAGGACCTTGAGCTGGTTCATGACTCTGGTCCCTGTGGCATACTACATTAGCATCCCTTTGTAGTGGCGAAGAGGCTTCTGGCATTGTAACGGGATTCTGCAAGAGCAAGAAACAAGGAGCTTAATGTGTTTTTAGTTTTGGGGAGAGTAAGGAATGGAAAGAACTAGGGATGCACCGATAACAGTTTTTCGGTTACGAGTACTGATATTTTGCTTTGACACCGAGTACCGATACCGGTACTCCCACTGCCATGGAGTCGACTTCCCGGGCAGTCAGGAAGCTGGGAGGCGAGTAATGACCCGGCTTCCTGATTGGCTGGGGGGCTGACTCCATGCTGTTTGGCTGGCTCGATGCTGATTGCCTGAGAAGCCAGCATCCCAGCCAGTCAGAAGCCGGGAGGCGGGTCATTACTTGCCGCACGGCTTCCTGATTGGCCGGGAAGCCGTCGCGAGGCTGACAGGCTGGGAGGCCGGCTTCCTTGCCAATCAGCATCAAGTTGGCTTCCAAGCCAATTAGGAAGCCAGGCAGCGAGTAATGACCCGGCTTCCTGATTGGCCAGGAAGCCGGCACCATGCTGGCTGCCCGGGAAGCCAGCATCCCAAACAATCAGCATTGAGCCGACTTCCCGGCCAATCAGAAGCTGGGAGGTGGGTCATTACTCGCCGCACAGCTTCCTGATGGCCCGGGAAGCCATCTCGATGCTAACTGACTGGGAAGCCGGCTTCCTGGCCAATCAGCATCGACCTGGCCAATCAGCATCGAGCAGGCTTCCTGATTGCACGGGAAGCTGGCTCCATGTTCCCCTATGGTACGGCCGGTCAGGGGAAATCTTCCTCTGACCTTGTATGATCACCTGGAGAATTAGAGGCTATGCATGATGTTCTATATCAAAAATAATTGAGGGCGGGTAGGATTACTAAGGAGAACTACACAAGTTGTGGGGGAAAAACATTTGGAGAAGATGGTACATGCTAGGGCTGCAGCTAACGAATATTTCCATAATCGATTAGTTACCCGATAATTTTTTCAACTAATCGATTGGTTGTTTAAAAACAATTCTCTCCCTCCCCAACCAACTAATTGATGATGAGAATAGTTGTCAACTATTCTCATAATCGATTATTATCGATTTAGTTGTTGCAGCTCTAGTACATGCCTACGTACGGGTTTTCAAGGGAAAACAATTTGTGGAAGAGTCCAAGACTACAAGGTCTATGAAATGAACTTTGAAGAATGTCTGCATGTCTATATCTCCACCATTTTATAGATGTCCTCGGTGGCTCACCTGTTGGACACCTAATTATTGATCCAAGGGATTCTATCAAGGAGACCTGGACACATTTATACCGGAATTCTTCTCCATGACTGAACAAATGGAAAGGAGATGGATCAATGTTTACTGCAAATTATAGACAGATGTGTCACACTTCCGGGTGAAATGAATCCGAGATACTGAATGAAACAGATGGTCTACCACAATACCTGTTATGGGGATATTGCAACCTTCAGAAGCTCGAGATATTAAAGGAAACAGACGCTCCTCTACAATACCTGTTATAAGGATACTGGTGTCTTCCAAACCTTGAGATATCGAAACCGACGCTCCTCTACAATACCTTGTAATGAGATATTGCCACTTTCCAAACCTCAAGATATTGAAGGAAACAGACGCTCCTCTACAATACCTGATATTTGGATATTGCTACTTTCCGAACCTCGAGATATTGAAGGAAACAGATGGTCCTCTACAATACCTGGTATTAGGATATTGACACTTTCCAAACCTCGAGATATTGAAGGAAACAGATGGTCCTCTACAATACCTGGTATTAGGATATTGACACTTTCCAAACCTCGAGATATTGAAGGAAACAGATGGTCCTCTACAATACCTGGTATTAGGATATTGACACTTTCCAAACCTCGAGATATTGAAGGAAACAGATGGTCCTCTTCAATACCTTGTATTTGGATATTGACACTTTCCGAACCTCGAGATATTGAAGGAAACAGACGGTCTTCTACAATACCTGGTATTAGGATATTGACACTTTCCGAACCTCGAGATATGAAGGAAACAGATGGTCTTCTACAATACCTGGTATTTGGATATTGACACTTTCCGAACCCCGAGATATGAAGGAAACAGATGGTCCTCTACAATACCTGGTATTGGGATATTGCTACTTTCCCAACCTCGAGATATTGAAGGAAATAGATGGTCCCCTACAATACCTGTTATAAGGATGCCGGTGTCATCCGACCAAACCTCGAGATATTGAATGAAACAGATGGCCCTCTACAATAGCTGTTATCAGGATACTGCTGCCTTCTGAACCTCAAGAAATGGAACGAAACATACGTTCCTCTGCAATACTTGTTATTGGGATATTGCCGCCTTTCTCACCTCTGAAAGAAGCTCCACCACTTCTGCTGCATTATTCTCCTCCGTCGTTACACTCGGATTCTGCTTGTTCTCCACAACATGGCTAATAGCCCAGTTGGCTTTTGTCTTGCACAAGAGGCTTCAAGTGGAAATCAGAAGTAGTTAACAGCCATGCAAAGGATGCAAATCACACACTACAATATACACTATATAGACAAAAGCTTGTGTACACTTGACCCTCGCACCCAGGGGCGTCCAGAGGCTGGGTGACACCCGGAGCGGTAACTGAGTGTCACCCCACCGAGACGTCACCACGCGCGTGCGCGATTACGTCATCGCACACGCGCGACAGTATTCTGATACCTGCCGGCGGCCATCTTAGTGATGGACGCCGGCACAGAGAAAAGGGGACAGTCACCCGGCGGTATAGGGTATGCCGCCGGGTCCCCTCCCCTCACCTGATACTGTCCCACCCAGGTGCGGGCCAAACCCACCGCACCCCCCTTGTGATGCCACTGCTCACACCTCTTTGAGCTAGTTGGACATCCCAGTCCAAAACCATGAGTGTTAATATAGAGTTGTATAAAATGAGTGTGGATTATTGTCATCATTTTTATAAGACTTTGGATTTGATTCACTTCATGCGATTTATCTTCTTTGTCAAATTTTTGATGCACTTTTTTATGGAATAACAAGTTTTGATATAATTGATTCACTATATTATTCATCACTTTGTGTTGTTTACACATGTTATGGATTTATACTAAGGTTTAAAAATTGTGCCAATATTATGGTATCTATGCATCTATATATATGTATTGCACATTTGCACTGAATAGAGATTATGCACTTTATAGCTCACTAGCTGCCATTAGGATAGTTTAATTGGCAGTATATTCAATAGAAACGCTCACTTCACCTTAATTTAAAAAGCACGGATTCAACATCCAGGTAGTGGCAGTGTACCCACTGGTGACCCCGAGCGCTGCTCACTCATTATATACATCTCTTGACCTTAGTGTCCTGAGTGCGGCTGCTTGAATATTGTTTTTTTTTTATATAATTATCCATAAGCGCAGATTTTACAAACTTCATTAATATAGAGTTGTGGCTCCGCAGCCTCCATTATTCTGTGAAGGCTTTCTACAAGAATTTGGAGGGAGTCTGTGGGAATTTGTGCCCATTTATAGGGTCAAGTATTAATGTAGAACAAAAGACCTGGGTCACAATTGGTGTTCTAATTCATTTCACAGGGATTGAGGCTTCTCAAAGGTGTTTAATAGGGTTGAGGTCAGTTCCTCCACACCAAACAATGGTGTCTTTATGGAGGTGGCTTTGTACACAGGGGGCAGTCATGCTGGAACAGAAAAGGACCTTCACCAAACCACAAGATTGGAAGATCACAATCTCCTAATATGTATTTGTATACTGTAGCATTAACAGTACCCTTCACTATAACAACAGTTATTGGGAGGGGGGTCCACATACTTTTGGTCATGTAGCATATCTTCAGAACTGTTCTTCCTACCTCTTCCAATGCACTACGAAGAGCAAGAGGAGGCAGAAGACAATACAGGCCACTCCAACATGAATTCCTAGTACTAGTCCTGACATCATCGTCTCTCCTTCCCCACAAGAACAGGCCGGGGCTGGATCTGCAGGCAGTAAAAAAACACAACGTTTCTAAACTGAGAAATACATGGTTCTTCATCAGTAGAAAAGATATGAGGAACATTACTTGACCACGACGTTGACAGTTGTGATGGCCAAAACTGAAGGAGACACGTTAAGAATTTATGTAAAACAGACCCAAAATTGGTCACTGAACAGTTCTGTTAGCATTTGCCAAGTCTTCCATCACTTGTCAATATTGATGCCTTCCCAGCTGATATTAACCCTCTAAAAGACATTTTAGATTACTTGCCCTGGTTAGAAAATGTACAAATAATGGAAACCCAAACATGAATTCTGTGTTTTTGGTGGTGATGCCAGTTTTACCATCCATTAGATCTGAAATCTTTCAAGACCTGAGAAATATGTTTCACCATCCTCAGAATGCACTGCGGTTGGTTACCTGGTGCCACGTTCCAGCTGGGCTTCAGAGACACAAATCGCTGCGTGCTGTTCCCATTGCCACTGGCACTAAAAGCCACCAGTTTGATCTCGTACTGAGAGGACGATTCTGGAAGGCAAAATTCAGAGAGGTCAATAACTTTCTTGTGAGAGAGGCGATGGTGTCAGAAGCTCATTAGCACCATGGAGGAAGTAGAGCAACACACAATCATGGTTGAGCAACAGACATCATGAGCCCAGGGACAGTTGCCACTTCTATAGTTATGAGTTCTTGGGAAATCCAGGAGCAGATCTCCTTCGTTTTCAAGAGATCTCCCTCATGTCCTGTTGTTTAACAATAGACATGTTAGTGAACCCAAAACAGGATGGATAAGACTCTAAATTCAGATTTTTAGAGGCAACTTTCTGGTAAGTCTAAAACAGCATTTCTCAATCATTTTTCAGTCAGGACACCCTTTAGAAGTATGCAAAATCACGAGGCATGTAAAGGATGAAGTGTTGTTCCCCCCAAAATCTATACCAGGCCCTTATCCTAGATAGGGATCTGGTATGAATTTAAGGGGGGAAACAAACTACTCACCACAGTGTGGATGTTGGAGGATGGTGGAAAGTGGAGAAGGTCTAGCCAGAGGTGGACTTCTGTCCTTTGCTGAATATGCTGGGGAAAGTCCTGGATGCAGCCCGCTCTGGATTAGTAATATATCTTTCCATGGTGCTTCTGCACCATGGAAATGCATGACATTGCGCCAAAGTTCGTAGGCACCCCTGCTAAAGGCAGATGACACCCTGGTTGAGAAAGGCTGATCTAAAGAATGTGAGAAGAATGAGAGCGCCAAATATTTAGCATGAGTCTCGTAAATGTTTTTGTGTCACAGAAGGTCACAAAAAGCCAAAGCATTTGCCTTTATTTTCCTTTACAGTCCTGATAAAGGGGGGCTGTCGAGTCCCCAAAATGCATAGGATTTCCTGTGACCTGTCATTTACAATAAAGATTTACTGGTCTTAAAGTACATAGTTGGTGCTCCCATCCTTCTCACATCCTGTTGTGCCAGGGACAGAAAGTGAAGGTAATTCTCCCCTACTCTTTCCACAACTAAAAAAAACTTCTCACCAAGGCCGTGGAAGATGAAGGAAGTTTGGTTTCCCGCCAGAGTCCGAGTCCCCTGGAAGTTTGCGGTATCCTGCGAAGACGGTATCCTGCGATACTCCAGTCTGTAACCCTGAACGGCGGTCCCAGCAGCGCCTCCATCCCAGCTGACCCGTACGGCGCTTTCATTAACAACAGTGACCGAGAAGTCCGGAGTCTTAGGAACTGTGGAAACCAGTCATATGGATCAGAAGTGGTCATTGATGACCATGATAAGAAAAACAGTCTTCCCGAGCCCCAGTTATAGAGTTTACCTCTTCCCAGCGTCGTGACCATGATAGGCCTGGAGTCCCGGCTGGCCCCCAGGGGGGAATATGCCCGTAGAAAAAGAATGTAATTGGTGGAAGGTTCTAAATTGTTGACCGTGTGCTTGAAGGTCGTCTTGCTAAGTGCTTCCTGCATCTCCTGAGTGCTGGGATCTGGAATTGTACGGGAGGAGAGCAAACTCTCAGTCACAGTTTACACGCACATAATATTGTTTTCATAACGTTCATGGATACATTGCTGCCACTTATTAGAAGAGCATTTCCCAACTTTTTTAACGCAGAGAACTCTTGAAATAAATTTCAGGATTGAGGGAACCCCTGGTGATGATTACTATATGAACCGCTCTTGGTACATTAGCGTAAAGTGGATACACGTTGGTGGTCAGTGAGAGAAGGGCTCTCTTACGTTGGTGGTCAGTGAGAGAAGGGCTCTCTCACGTTGGTGGTCAGTGAGAGAAGGGCTGTCTTACATTGGTGGTCAGTGGGAGAAAAGCTCTCTTACATTGGCGGTCAGCGGGAGAAAGGCTCTCTTACATTGGTGGTTAGTAGGAGAAAGGCTCTCTTACATTGGTGGTCAGTGGGAGAAGGGTTCTCTTACATTGGTGGTCATTGGGAGAAGGGCTCTCTTACATTGGTGATCAGTGAGAGAAGGGCTCTCTTAATTGGTGGTCAGTGAGGGAACGGCTCCCTTACTTTGGTGGACATTGGGAGAAGGGCCCCTTCACTCTAATGGTCAGAGAGAGGAATGTCTGTTTTCACTGCTTAGTAGGAAGAAGGCCCTCCTACCCACAGCTAATACAAAAATTGGTGTTAGTGGTACGTAATCTGATTGGTAGAAATGTCTAATTGCTCAAGAAACTCCTTGCAACCTTTGGAGAGACCCTAGTTGAGAAGGCAGCATTAGACCACGAATATCTACTGTATGGCCAAAAATATGTGGATCCCATTCTAAAATTTCAGGTGTTTCCAGGTAAGGCGAATGGTATTCTTACAGCATACAAAGACATTGTAGACAATTGTGCTCTTCCAACCTTGTGGTAACCGTTTGGTGAAGACCCTTTTCTGTTACACCATGACTGTCTCCTGTGTACAAAGCCAACTCCATAAAAACATGGTTGGACCAGTTTGGTGTGGAGGAACTTAAGTGGCCTGCACAGAGCCCTAACCTCAACCCTACTGGACACCTTTGGGTTGAATTAGAACGTTGCTTGTCATCCAACATCAGCACATGACCTCCCAAATGAGCCAAATCTCCACAGACACCCTCCAAAATCTGGTTGAAAGTCTTCTATGAGCTCTACAGTCATATAGCCACTTGTAGGCCTCAGGTGTACCCTTGGACAGCTGTCTGATCTCTTACCTCCATCTTTGCAGATGTGGAGTACGTATCCGATTATCCCATCAATCGTCTCAGGTGGAGGTGCGGTCCACGTAGCCTCGATAGAGGTGGCCGAAACAGGGACAGCATTCACCTTTTCCGGGACATTCGGAGCATCCTGCGGCAGAGTGACTGCCAGCCGGGCACTTGCTTGGCTCGTTCCGGCACTGTTCTCGGCGATGCACTGGTAGAGGGCCTCATCTGCAGAGGTGACCCTGAGGAGGGTCAGAGTGCTGCAGAAACACAGCGAGTTGATTATATTGTACACAAAACGACGAGCAGAAGGCTCTGGCGTGTGCTTACCGGTTGTCAGCGCTCAGCCTGGTGTTCCTTTGGTGGGTTAAGTGTTTGCCGTTCTTCAGCCACACGAGGGTGGGCTCAGGAGACCCTCGTGCCAAGCAAGAGAAAGTGGTGTTGTCACCGGGGGAGTGGCTCACCGACTGCGGCCATTGCACAAACTCTGGCGGCGCTGTGAAAAATAAGGGATGTTGTAATTGTTTTACTTGCAGCTGATTGGTTGAGAGAACCAGCGCTGATAGGTATACGGAGCCTGACAATACTAACCAGGACAATGCAGAAGCACATGTAGAGACAGACAGAGCGATGTCACCGTATAACAGGAAGTGCCTGAACAAGCCAGAACTTGCCGGTGTTCTATCGAAAGCTCCAACTCATCGAGATCTCCAACTACCTCACTGCCGGGTACTTGCAAGTTGGAGATTTCGACCAGACGGCATTAGACAGCAAAACACGAAGACTGACCGGGGTCTGTACAGCTGCATTTTAACAATATTCAGCAGGTGGCAAAGTCGACGAGTAATCTGAAAAAGTTATGCGCGCATGCGCACCGCAACTGTACAGAGCTCCAGTCTTTATGAGCACTGGAAGTAAGGTAGTTGGAGATTTTGATGAGTTGGAGCTTTCGATAGAACACCTGAACACATGCACACTGAAACTGTACAGAGCTCCAGTCTTTCTGAGCACCGGAAGTGAGGTAGTTGAAGATTTTGATAGAACGCCGGAACTAAAGCCTAATATTAGACGCCTAATGGGGCTGTCGGCAATTGATTACCAATACTAATATCTGATCCAGATCTCATGAGCTTATTAAGCCCTGAAGAAGGGAGGGTTTTACAGATGCGAAATGCGTTGGATTCTTGGCAATCTCAAAAAATATATATATTCTGGATTATTATACGTGGGTTATTTATTCTATATTTAAAGCCTATCTCTGGGCAAACCACAAAACTACCCTTGTAGTGGTGCTGCCCCCACATTGCAAGGGGTAACTGGCCATTTATGCCTATGGGACTGGAAAACGCTAATTTACTTACCTAAACCCGATCCCGCCAGTTCCCACTGCTAGACAGTCTCCGCAGCCTCTTCTCCCTTTGCACCAGCGGTCCTCGGACCACTGATGTCATCACATCTAATGCAGGTTATATAGACCTGAATTAGGCACGGCGACATTCCACCAGGCGGAGCGGCCGGAAGTCTGTCCTAATTGGAAACGGCGGTGGGAACTTCCGACCACCAGCACCAAGGAAGATCCTCACCCATTTCCTTAACTCCTACAATAGCGGAGTGGGACTGATAGCGACTTGTCCCCGCAGAGCTTGCACTCTAATATGTGGGAGAAGCTCTGAGTGATGGCAGCCCAGCCCCCTCCCGTGGAAGGAAAGACTGACGGGCGGTTTTGTGTCGGTCACAATGAAATAAAATGCAATTGCTTGGTCCAGCTGTCCAGGCA